GGTGACGAGCGATGGGGTATGATGTGGCTCGCTTCCAGGGGGACGTTGACGAGGACCTGATCTGCCCCATCTGCAGCGGGGTCCTGGAGGAGCCGGTGCAGGTAGGTCACATCTGGTCCCACCTGGTCCCACCTGGTCACATCTGGTCTCACCTGGTCACATCTGGTCCCACCTGGTCCTGCCTGGTCCTGCCTGGTCTTGCCTGGTCTCACCTGGTCCTGCCCCAAACCCACCCCAAATCCACCCCAAAACCACCTGGTCTCACCTGGTCCCACCTGGTCCATGGAGAAAAAGAGCAGGAAACGTGAGGGGAGGAAAAAGAGCGGGAAACGTGAGGGGAGAAAAAGGGCGGGAAACGTGAGGGGAGAAAAAGAGCGGGAAACGTGAGGGGAGAAAAAGAGCGGGAAACGTGAGGGGAGGAAAAAGAGCAGGAAATGTGAGGGGAGAAAAAGGGCGGGAAACGTGAGGGGAGAAAAAGGGCGGGAAACGTGAGGCCACAGGGACATTGAGGGGCTGGAGATGGGAATGGAGCTGGGGAAGGGCTGGAGCAGCAGGAGAAGGCTCTGGAGAAGTCCTGAGGGGGCTGGGAAAGGGCTGGGCCTGGAGAAAAGGAGGCTCAGGAGGGATCTTTTCACTCCACACCTCCCTGACGGGAGAGCGGGGCCGGCTGGGGCCGGGCTCTGCTCCCAGGGTGAGAGGGAGAGCTCTGAGGCAAAGTCCTTCCGTGATTCTGGGGGGAATTTGCAGGGTTTTGGGGAAAATTGTAGTTGTAGCCGGGTGGGGATTGGCCTCTTCTCCCAGGGAACATCAAGAGAAGAGGAAATGGCTCCAAGCTGTGCCAAGGGAGGGTCGGGTTGGCCATCAGGAGGAATTTTTCCATGGGCTGTTACACGTGGGAAGGGAGGTTGGGAGCCCATCCCAGAGGAGTGGAGGTGGCACTCAGGGCTCTGGCAGGGATCAGTCACGGGTTGGACTCGATGATCTGGGAGGTTCTTCCCAAACTCAACAATCCCATGAACAATCCCATGAGCGATCCCATGAGCGATTCAGTGACAATCCCATGTGTGATCCCATGAATGATCCCATGAGCGATTCCATGAGAGATCCCATGAGCAGTCCCTTGAATGATTCTGTGAGAGATTCCATGAACAATCCAGCGTGTGATCCCATAAGTGATCCCATGAAGGTTTCCATGTGTGATCCCATGTGTGATCCCATGAACAATCCCAGGAGCAATCCCATGTGTGATCCCATGAGCCATCCTATGAATGATCCCACAAGCAATCCCACAAACGATCCCATGAACGATTCCATGACCAATCCCATGAGCAATCCCATGAGCAATCCCATGAATGATTCCACGTGCGATCCCATGAACAGTCCCATGAACGATTCCATGAACGATTCCATGAATGATCCCATGAACAGTCCCATGAACGATTCCATGAACGATTCCATGAATGATCCCATGAACAGTCCCATGGGTGATGATGAGTGATCCTACATGTGACCCCATGACCAATCCCATGAATGATTCCACGTGTGACCCCATGAACGATTCCATGAATGATCCCATGAGCAATCCCATGAATGATTCCATGGTGATCCCTTGAACAATCCAATGAACAATCCCATGAATGATTCCATGAACAATCCATGACCAATCCCATGAACAATCCCATGACCAATCCCATGAATGGTTCCATGAACAATCCATGACCAATCCCATGACCAATCCCATGACCAATCCCATGAATGATTCTATGGTGATCCCATGAACAATCCCATGAATGATTCTATGGTGATCCCATGAACAATCCCATGAACAATCCCATGAATGATTCCATGGTGATCCCATGAACAATCCCATGACCAATCCCATGAATGATTCCATGAACAATCCATGACCAATCCCATGACCAATCCCATGAACAATCCCATGAATGATTCCATGAACAATCCATGACCAATCCCATGAATGATTCCATGAATGATTCCATGAACAATCCATGACCAATCCCATGACCAATCCCATGAACAATCCCATGAATGATTCCATGAACAATCCATGACCAATCCCATGACCAATCCCATGAACAATCCCATGAATGATTCTATGGTGATCCCATGAACAATCCCATGAATGATTCCATGGTGATCCCATGAACAATCCAATGAACGATCCCATGAATGATTCCATGAACAATCCATGACCAATCCCATGAGCAATCCCATGAACAATCCCATGACCAATCCCATGAATGATTCCATGAACAATCCATGACCAATCCCATGACCAATCCCATGAATGATTCCATGAACAATCCATGACCAATCCCATGAACAATCCCATGACCAGTCCCATGAATGGTTCCATGAACAATCCATGACCAATCCCATGACCAATCCCACGAGTGATGATGAGTGATCCCATGTGTGACCCCACAAATGATCCCACGAGCAAGCAGAGGCGCCACTCAGGGCTCTGGCAGGGCTCATTCTCATCTCGAACTCAACGATCCGGGAGGTTTCTGGATCCCGCCGGTGACTCCGGCCTCGTTCCCCGCAGGCCCCGCACTGCGAGCACGCCTTCTGCAATGCCTGCATCACGCAGTGGTTCTCGCAGCAGCAGACGTGCCCCGTGGACCGCAGCGTGGTGACGGTGGCCCACCTGCGCCCGGTGCCGCGGATCATGCGGAACATGCTCTCCAAGCTGCAGATCACCTGCGACAACGCCGTCTTCGGCTGCACGGCCGTCGTGCGCCTCGACAACCTCATGGCACACCTCAACGACTGCGAGCACAACCCCAAGCGGCCGGTCACCTGCGAGCAGGGAT